ATTTCGTGCCCGTACTGTATCTGTTTTCGTGATTGTACTTGTTGGCATGCTTTAAGTTTGATAAGGGGCACTCCATATTTACTTACTGAGTTTATTTCATAGTTTTTCATTGTCCACCATTTCAGGATGTGAAACCGAGGACGGGGAAACCACAGGAAGTGACGAGTTAGAAGGCTAGCCATATTGTAATTGATATAGATTTTAGAAGTAAATCATGATCTTGTAAGCTAGAGTGTACTTGGAGATTTTATGATATCATAGTAAATTTTAAAGATTTAATCTTCAGATTTTGATGGTATCAGATTGTGGTGTGATAAGTTTCGAGCCTTGTGCATTTGTGGGACCCGTCTCACGAGTGCACGGCGTCTGTCGCGTCTCGAATTTGGATTTTGGGGCGTGACAGATTTAGTGGTATCAGAGCTTAGGTTGAAATTAAGAGCTTAGGTTGAAATTAAGAGCTTAGGTTGAAATCAGAGCTTAGGTTTGAAATTAAGAGTTTAGGATTAAATTAAGCACCTTCAGATTGAGTGGCATTAGAGCAGATTGAGTGATATCAAGCCTAGGTTTAATTGAATACCTAGGATTTGTTTTGGACTTGGCTAGCCAGTGGATTTTAGAACCGTGGTGAGACAAGTGATGGGGTTATATAAGGGACGATTTTGATTCATGTTGCCTGAATTTTCTCATCCATTTCGATGAGATGGTGATCTGATTGTTCTTGTTTCCTGCCTTCATACGCTGTGTGGAGTTGTGAAAGTGATCTTGCCCGTTATGTTCTTAAGACCTTGTTTTGAAACTTGGTCATTTTCTGATAGTCCGCACTTGTTTAGGCTTGTTACATGAATAGAATTTTTGTGTGCTCTTTTGCCACAATTGTGAAATCTGGGGAGTTGCAGAGACTTTTGTTATTGATCTTGCTAGTCTCTACAGCATAGCTGGTGGAGAATTTGTTTTGTTTGTCACATGACCAGTGGAGGATGGGTAAACCCTCTACTTTGCAAGAGATTCGAGGCTATTTTAGCAATTGTTATGTGTTTTCTAGCTGCGTTTTAGGAGCTAGATTACTTGGTAATTCCGTTGCTCCTTATCTTTTGAAAGTCTTATAGTGAAGTTTCACTTTTTCCATTTGAAGCTTCATGGTCTTTTCATGTGGCTCATTTTTCTATATTGGTTAATCAAGAACAGTGATCCTTCAATTGAAATTGCCTTGTTTTTATGAAGATTGGCAAGCTATCATAAAGTTAAACTCTCTATTGTTGCCAATCTCTACATTCTTGACACTTGGAAATTGCTTGAAACTCTTGAAATTCGTCTTGAATTTGTCTTGATATTGCTTTGTACTTGTTCTTGAAACTGAAATCCAGAAATGGATAATGATTATTGAAATCCTCATTATCTGGATACTTGTTTGAAATTAATTCTTGCATTGTTCTTGGAATCTAGTTTGAGTTGTCCTTGAAAACCATTCTTGTTCTGACACTGGTTCTTGCTCAAATTCTGTATATTGCTCTTGCTCAAATCTTGCATATTCTGCTTGTTCTTGTTTTTGTATACTTCTTGATCTTCTTGATTCTTGGTTTTTGTTCATATGGACACCTCTTTAGGGGGGGTGACGAAATACCTATATGAGGCATCCTCATTCTTGTCTCTTGCAAGTGTTAATCTCTGTATTCTTGATGTCCTAGCTTTGACTTGACTCTAAGATGTCTAGGATGACTTGATTGTAAATCTGCTTAGCCTCGCCTCCATGAGCTACAAGGTAAAGGGGTAGTCCTTGAAATACTTGATGCCCTAGAGTTTTGTTCCAAGTGAAATGGTTCTTTGATCGGGCTGCTTGGATTTTTGTTTGCCCTTTAATTGGAAGACATGAATCTTCTAAGCATCTTGATCTCAGCCATTGCTTTGTTCTGTTAATTAATTCTAGTACTTGAGGTGCTAGATCTTGATCTCCTGGTTATATCTGCTCTTGAATCCATGTTCTGGTTGTCATTATTGAAATCTCTTTTGTGGGCCTAATCCTTGGATTCTATTACATGTTTCATGGTTAACTCTTGTTTCTCAATTTTGACTGCTTGGTTAAATTTGATCTTGATTCTTGGTGAATGCTGTTTTGTTGTTGAATTTTTGAGGCATTCTACCTTGCACTCTTATGTTTCAGTATTCTTCCAAGCAGTCATATTTTCCATTGATTTTATTCGATTGCAATTCTTGAGATTCTTACATGTCTTTGATGGGTCTAGCTTTTAACTCTTGTTAATTGCTAAAATCTGTCTCTTGATTTCAGTTGCCTTGTTAAATATGATCTTGGTTCTGGTTAACCTTGTTTTGTGGCAGAATTTACAAGGCATCCATGCACTTGTTCATTCATTCATGATTCATATATTTATTGGATGCTTATCCGTCTTTGATAAGAGTTCAAAGTTTTGTTGTACTCGTCTTTAAATCCATGCCATTCTTTGCCAACTCGTCTTGTGTTGGGTTCAAAGCGTAACCCCACAATTATTCTTTTGTGGCCTTGGCAGGATTTATTTTTATTCCTTGTGCTTCCCATATCACCCCAGCCTTTAGTAGCTCATTTCATGGTAAATCCTATTAAGTAATTAGTGTTCTGCTTTTAAGATTAGTCGTGATTTGTTATCAGAGTGGCGTAGCGGAAGCGTAATAGGTCGTGTTCTGTTCCTAGAAAGTGATGAGGCAATTGTTTTGTCTCGGATTGTGTGAAGCCACTCACCACTTGATACGGTCCTCAATTTGAGTTTTGGGGACAAAACTCCTTTTTAGGAGGGGTGGATGTAATACCCCCAAAATTTTGTGCTATTTTAGCATTTAAGTAAGGGTTTTTGTGTGAGAAAAATATTGTTTTGGGGCTTGATGGCCAACATTTTGAAAGTTGA